GCCCGGGATTATTCCGCGTTTGCAACACCCGGTGGAAACAAGAGACGCCCTCAAGTAAAGAAAAGGAAAACTCGTAAAGAACCAGCACGGTTGCCCGAGGCAAGCTGAGATAACAATAAAGGATAGCATGTAGCTGATCTGGGAGCACTATAATCACCCTAGGTTATTTACTCCAAGGATTCATTCCGGCGCGCTGCTTGAAAATAGAGTGAGTGGAGATATTGTTTTCGTTTTTTTTTCCTTGCGCACGCCGCACACCGTTGTTGTTGTGTGAGACTGAATGCGACGGCCTTGGCTGCCCTCAACCGCCAAAACGTGTGCCCAACCGAACATGTACTCTCGCGCTTGAGCATCGGTCGTGATCGGATGATTGTGCTGTGGAATTGTAGACACACATGCGGTCTCCTGAGCAGCGCACAATGTGCGTACACAGAGCGGCAGCCCACGGTAAGTTGTAGCCGCTGTTCACAGCACACACATCTTTAGGCGTAGGTACGGGGCAGATCGGTGTGGACCTTAGCTCAAGCACGTCTCACATATGTTACCGTTCGGACGTTAGGTCTCGCCTTGGCGAGTTCACGAGTATAGCGCTTGGTCAATCCGTGGGACATGCATGACAACCGCGTGTGCACACCAGCACCGAAGCACAGGAGGAGCACAGAGTTGGCAGCACAGAGAACCGCTGTGTTGCCTCCGCAATGTAAACAGCAGCCAACCCGCCCAACACGTCTTGTATGTATGGGTTCTGCATCTGGCCATGACACGATTCCAGGATGTCGTTAACCCAGCCATACAACGCGTGCGGAAGGCCGTCAAGCCGTGAAGTACACACAGCCTCTGCAACACGCTGTAGACGATGTAGCGGAGAGAACTTGCGTTCCCCTTCTACATGTCAACAGCAGTATGCATACGACACCACACCACCGACCGCGGTCATCACCCAATCCGCCTTGCCTCGCCTGTCCGCTCCAACGCGAAATGCCTCCAACAGCTACATTTTGCATTCGTTACTCTCAGCCAGGGTGTGGTGTGCGCAAGCCGCTTGCTCAGCGGAGCCGCCCAGATTTGTCTACATCCACCTTACGAACGATATGGGGAAGATGTTGCACTTGACGCCAAGCCGTACATTCTTCAGTTCAAACTCAAGACAGTCAGATAACTGTATTTAGTGGTTGTCTCGTATCACCAGCACTTACAACGTCACATACCATGGGGTTAATGCCAAGCAAACCCAGTGCCGCAAGGGCTTTTGTTCGATATGACTGTTGTCGTTCAACCTGTCCAAGGAAATGCACGCTGGATCGTACTTGTTTCGAGTTGACGATGGATCCCTTTACTCAATGGGCCCATTGGTATTCTGGAACTCGCGGGTACGTTAGTCTGATGGCATGGTTATTTCAACTGAGATACAAAATGTAGGTTTTTGCGTGAACGCCGAGGCGCATACATCACGCCTTTCTTTGCCTCAGTGTGAGCGGTCCCACCTTCACGAACATTTTGTCATGCACGCGTTCGCCCCACTTGTAGACATATCATACAGTCAACTTTGCCCTGCCTTGCATCATCAATGTCGCCGTTTATGTGCTGTTCACCCGTTGTGTCATTCGGGCTTCAATGGGCGGGGGAGTTGCCTCCATACACTATATAGTGTTGGGGGTAAAAAGGGGGACTAAAGCGTTTTCTTGCAAACACATGTCAAGAAGTCAACTCGCGTTTTCTGTCCTTTTGGGTCGTTCGGGATCGGGTTGTACCCTGGGCTTCAGTAGCTATATCGTACGTACAATATTATCCACCCGTTGAGCTAGCGTTGTGTTCGTTTCACATCAATCGGTAGTTTGTCGACTACACTATGGGATCCTTGCACTCTCATCTTAAATCTACACCCCCTTCGATCAGAGTTGGAAGTCGGGTTCCGATTCTTCTCTCTTGCTGACGGAGGTTTCCTTCGAGTTATCTCGTTCTTCTCGAAGTTGTATGTTGCATAGTGCAGACATGAAGGCACGTGGTTGCTGGACTTTCCGGTGGTTTTGAGGCACCGTTCGGCGTATGTGTTTCAGTCATTCTTCGCGGTTTTGTTTACTTTCCTTCTGCATATATGTTTGTCGGATTCTGCGGCCTAGAAAACGATATCGACAACACCACACATCATCAGCGGATGATGGTCAATTAACAGCATTTCCACGAGAGAGAATAGTCCCTTCTTGGACCCCGCCGTTCATCACCTTTACATTTACCCACGCGGACATCACGCATCATGCCGTGCCCCGCCTTCCAAATCTTACCCGCGCACGGGACACGTTGCTTCCCAACGATGTCATCCCTTTCATCCACTTTTCACCGTCCTCGACTACTCGCGCGTGCGATGCGGGTACCCTAGTACTGTTCGAATCCGGGGTCCGTTCATACCGCCCGGTGCCAGGCATTCCGGGGATGCGGTACCCTCTGTTGGTGTGGCACAACACAACAGTAGTGTCAACACCCAGACCAGTCCACGGCAGTCAAACGATGTTGTGGTGTGGCTGTTGCGTCACAGTGCCCTCCTTCAACCATTCGCGTTCCAAGGCTGGGAGCGAGTGTCTACGCACTTTTCAATACTGAGTCGTACACTCACGTCCCCTCTGAAATGTGGAGTATAGGGTTAGACTTGGTACACTTTGTCACACACGTAATTCTTGCCAACACCAGCACTACACCACAACGGACGGTTACGCCGCATAACCCCGTCTAATTTTAGTACGAGAGTCCGCGGCGGCGATTGTCATGTATCCTGGTCTTGTGCTGAACTCTCAGACTTACCAACGACGGAGTGATTCACGCCTATCTGTTCTGTGGCAAGGAGAAGACAATGTGAGTAATACGATACATGCGTTCATCCTTGCTTGTTCACGACGGGCACACATGTAAGGCGTGCGTCCGGCGAAGGGCATCCATGACGCGGTGGTACCCGCGTGCATGAAGCTGTAGCATGCTCAGGCAAGATCATCGAAAATTTCTCGGTATCATGCAGCGGTCGACCTTGTCACCGTCTGCACCTCTCCATAGGATGGCGGCAGAAATTGCATGGCCAAGGAAGTGTGCCTAAAGGAGGAAACAAGAGACCAAATCAACCTTTCTGGTGCAAATCAGAGACCATGCATAAGAACGTGGACAAAGCAGTCTGATAGGCAAACTCACATACGAAAAACTAATTAATCAGATGACACCCAAAGGTTGGAAGGTGTAAGCGACAACTTTCACAATGGAAAAATTACGAGAAAACATAAAAGAAGTGAAGGCCTCACAAACCAGAAACTATGCCGAAAACGTTGCGCACAAGCTTGCGGTCGACCCAATCTCAAACTCTCAAGAAAAGGGGTTGCACACAGAACAAAAAGAGCGGGTCAAATTTCGTAGTCGGAGTTAGGGGTGCAGGCCGCACACCCGGCCACTTTCGTGAACGTTTCTCCTCCTGGCCGTCGACGCGCCGGCTTCATTGCATCGGGTGTTGGCGTTGCACTGGTCCTGCATCCTGCAACTCGAACGCGATCCGGAGCAAGTCCTTGCCCTTTCTTCGAGCGCATGGGTAGTGGACGCGTGTCGCAGACTTGCATACCAGGAGGTTCACAGGTTTTCTCCTGGAGGGAGTGGGTCCCAGCCCACATAGGAAAACACGTGCATACGGACCCTGCCGGTGACCCAAGATGAATGACATTGCAAGGATTTTCGACTTCCGTAACCGCTGTCGCGGCGGCCGTTGTTGTATGGCCGTGGGGATGTGTACGACGTAGGCGGACAAAAGCCCAACGCGCAGTCAGCAAATACGTTCTCTCTGCACGAGACTTGCGTGTTTTTTCAACTCGCAGCATCAAACGTGCCCTGCATGGCACTAATTGGACCTCTGCACATAACGTCAGGAATTCAGCAGCAGCAGACGCACAGGTGGAAATGATGTGTGATTGATCCCGTCTGGGGCGATGGAGAGCCCGCCGAGCATCACCTGTTTCTGAAGACGTTATTGCGTTTAGCTGTGCTCGCTTCTCCTTCTCGGCGTCTCTCGCTCGCACCCTCTCCTTCGATATTCCGCATTCCATAGACTCCGGCACTCATTCTCCTCCATACTCGCCCATTGCCGCAAAGGTACATCCCCGTTATTGGGGCTGTGGGATTCGCTCATCGAAACAATGAACGCATCCATCAAAGCATCTATTGATGCCCTCGTCCTGTCACCGCCGCAACCCAAGTACACTTGGGTAACAGATTCCTGGTGATGCATATGCGAAAGGGGAGTGATAACACGGGCATTCAAAGCACCACCGAAGGTGTCTACAGCACGACGTTGCAATTTTGCATGATAAGCACCTGGGAGAGTACCTCGCTGTGCATGTGCGTGTTGACCACCATCATCCTACGGTATTTGTGTTGAAGTTGATGGAATTTCTGTCCTGTTAGTGGAGATTAGCCCTTTTCTCCATCGACGTGCAAGATGGACGTTCCTGGTAATGGCAGCAGCGGTGACGGGGACGGTTTACTGTTGGAATGCACGAACAGGTTGTCTGTCTGAGCCCTGTTGGAGAGTTTGCACACCACCGCACAGCGTTGTCATAACCCCGTGCATCCACGTATGATATTCGCTACAAGTGTCTTTGTGGCGCACTTCGATGGTGTTGCTTACTGCTGCTCTGTCTGGTGCCGGTCTTGCTGTTGTGTGCTGTTGATCGCTCGCGGAAGATAGCTTAGATTTCGGCAACCTGCCGGTCGACAAGAATGGGGCTTGTAGACACCAAGTTGCACGCCTGCCACATTACCCCCCTGCATGAGCGCTCCACTGTGGATCGTTTTCCAGTGTGGTGTCATACATCGTGTAGGGGAGGGCAGTGTACCTTGCTGACGGTGTTTGGGGCACCGGCTACAACACAACGACGTTCAAGAACCAGTGGCTTCCAATAGTTCCTTCTACTTCCGAAAGACGTCCAACATGATTTACCTCGGATGGCATGTAACTCAACCCCCGGCTCAAGCAGGTCAAGGGCAAACATTCAGCCTTCTTGCGTGAAGCCAGCCGCGGCATTGGCATCCTGGGCTTTGGCAATACGAACAACAGCAGGTGCGAGATCGACTGCGCTGAGGATGGCTGGGGACGAGGGCGAGACGGAGGTGGCGGTGGGCATGCCGAAGCCGCCGGTTGAGCCTTTGCAGGAGAAGAGCAACCTGCCGTTTTTCCTGGATCCCAGCACGAGGTGAGTATTGTCTTGCCGATTGAACCACGGCGAACAGTTGCTTCCTTTGTTCGCGGATTGCAGCCTGCTCACCCCACCACTAGGTATGACATGCTCTTCCTACTCTTTTACCCTACCATCTTTCGGCATCGCTGCATTTTCCTCGAGCTAGATATGTTTGGTCGTGTGGCTGATGCCGAGCACACTTCATACCACCCGTGGCCTAGCCATGTGTCCGCTACCTGAACTGTTGCTTTCAAGGAGCGTGACGCTTCATTGGTATCACTTTATCATGTCCGTGTAGAGCCAGTATCTGGTTACTGGACGGACTCAGCCTAGACAGATACCTGCGTGTTTTCTGCGTTCGGTGTACGTACGAGTATTCGGCAAGGATAGCCGCGAGGGCGGGGTTTTGCCTGCCTCTCTGTCTGTCTGTCTGCCTGTCGCTCTTGTATGCCTCGGTCTCTTTGTCTCATCTGTTTGCTTGCGTGGGACAGGAACGGTGTGGAGTAGAGCCCAAACCAACTCTAGAGCTGTGTGATTCCTTTCTCACTCGTGAATCTCACGTGTCGAACATCGTAGACGGTAGCTGGGCCATGTTGTGTCAAGCAGACTGCTAGGATTGCTCGAATCTACACCACCTGCGCTTCTTCGCATCTGGATTAGTTCCAAAACTAAAACACAGAGGTACAAGGGGTCACCTTCGAGATCAAATCGAAGAGCGACGTGAAGGCATCGCCACCATGCTTCCCACGTAAATTGGAAACCTATGCTGAGACTATTTGTTGCACGCCGTGTACTTGACAGAAACCCTGCTTGTCTCGTGAGTCATCCATTTCATGGTGAAGGTCACTTTCTCGGGGAGGTGATGTGATCTATTGCGGCGCCCGCACTATCTATGCCATAACAAGGTAGAGTTGACCACGAAAGGCAGTTCAACGAAAGTCGAGCAGCAGCAGCAGCAGCAGCAGCAGCAGCAGCAGCAGCAGCAGTACACGTGTTTTGTCCAAGCCCTTCAAACTGCCTTTGTTAATTAGGTTTTCCTGGGCTGTGTTGAAAGAGATGAGTGCAAAGAGATGTGTACCTGGGGTATCCTTGTCCGTGGCTTGCTTGCTTTCGCCAGGGGAGGAGCTGTCGTGGTGCCCACGTTGTCTCTATTGCTGCCGCTGGGGGCATATGGGGCGCTGACGGCTGTTGGGGTGGACGGATCAAAAGCAGGTGCGCTTAGTTTTTCTGTAAAACGGCTAGCATCTCGTGCTGTTTTCAACAGATGGTGGCAATCTATGCAAGGATCTAGCAGGTTCCTTTGTGTAACCATTCATTTATCATGCTGGCGCGACGACCCCACGTAGGTTTGGTTTGTTGTTGCGGTTCATGCCTGGCCGGTACACCAATGGGCCGACTGGCTGTTCGTCTGATATGCAGTTGGAGGTGATTTACCGCCCTTTGACGAGTCGTGTCGCGGCACTTTTTGACTGTCGGCTGTTTAGCTTCGAGCGCCATCATAAGCCCCAGGGCCTTCTTGGGCACCTCCTCCCCGTGTCTACTGCGGGGTTCGGTTTTCGTGCTCTGAACTCCGATTGCGTTTTACGTCCGTCCTTGAAGGGATGGTAGACAAACGAGTTTTATGTTGACTGATTTTGAATATAAACGCAAGAGCACCAGAAAATGCACACAAGACATACAAGACCAGTCGGACGGCATCGGGGAAGAGATAAATCGTTCATTCTCGCACAGGGCGGCCGTAGAGGCTGCTAACAACATACATATCACGGGTCGACCTCAACAGGACTCCTTTGAAATCAACATGAAAATCACACTGCTCCAAACACAAGCCAAAAGAGGCAGAACGGCAGGAGGTCAAGTAACGTCAATTTTGCAGTAGACCCCGTGCATTCTACTGACATCACTAGACGACACGCGACACCCCAAAGCAGCGGGGTTGTATTTGTTGGCGCGCTCAAATCCGCTTCTCAGGTGGTGATATCAAGGGTCGTAGCAATAGCCTATAATCTCCGCAAATTTGACCGACATCCAAAGTGTCTTACACGTTCAGGGGTTTTACGGCCAATGGCGTTGAGCACGGCTGTGACAAATGTTTGATTCCGGCGCGAATTACGGACTGTTTCCGAGACTGCTGCAACCCTCGACATTTCAGCTCCAGGAGCAATCCTGAACGTGCCAGCACACGCAACGCCTCTTCATGATGTCCTCAACTGAAAACAGTAGAATGCATAAGATCCAACGGTGGAATGTTTGCCTTCTTTCGTATAATTGAAGTACCAAATTAAGTTCGAAAAGCCAGCGTCAGAAAAAAGGTTGTCTGTTATCCCCTAGCAACGGCGCGCGACTCGCAGCTCAACCATGACTGCTTCAGCGACTTAGAAACTGGACGGACTCCGGCCTTGAAGGACATAGGTCGAGCACAACCTAAAAGGAGCTAGCTTCCTGAGGGAACAGGAACACATCCTACCGCAGGTGTTGTGGATCACACCGTCAGTAGGTATTGTCCTGGCTACAGTGTGCAGGTACATGTACGCCATCGTCTGCGTAACAGAGGAGTGATTTTTGGAGCTCTTCGATAGGGGCGACACGTGGCTGCCAGCAAACATCAAATAATTGAAGGAAAGATCGATATGTCGTAGATTTGCCCCTATCCCGCATGGTACTTTGGCCGGTCTCAACATTGTAGGTATTCTAGCAGAAGGATAATTTTCTGAGATTCGGATTCATAAATTTTTTTTTTGTGGGCAGCCGTAACCGTAACGCCGATCCTCACTCTAGAGACAGCGTGAGATTTGATGTCCAACATCCAACTGGATCTTTTTTGATACTATTATACCCTTACCAAGGTCCTACACCCTGTCACGTCGTTCGCCAACAAGGCGTTGGCGTTCTAGGACGTGACAACTTTTGTGCATACAGCAGCACCAATGGGGAAATGTCTATACTGGTACTTGTACCAAGCAGAGGAGCGTTTTGCTTCCGGATGTTCCCGTGGAGCAGGCCAGCCTCCCTCCACCTGAGCACAAGTGTCTGGAGGGTGTTTCAAGTACTTGATCAAAGTTTACCTTGTCTTGAACGGTCGCGGGTGGTTCAGCTGGTAACCCCGTTAGCCTCCTTCTCAAGATTGTGCGTCGAATCTCTCGCCAGGGACAAACTCACAATTTGGTAGCTGACAGCGCCGAAGGTTGGTGAATACAGTTCATCGCTTCGAACGTCAGATGTTGAAGGCAAGCACCGCAGGAGGTAAGGCAGAGAACATAATGGGTTGCCTGTGTGTAACCACCGCTGGTGGGCGGTTGATGTACCTGATTAGATGGTGCCAAAATACACATGGCAGGCGGGCGCTTGCTGTCTGTTTTTCAGTCTCCATCTCCGCTTTGCCTTGATGCTCCATGCGCCTCGTCGCCTCATCCAACAGGGGCATGGGTGGGTGTGGGATACACGCTGATCGGCCTCATCGCCTGGGTGGGCTCGTACTTTTTCCGAGTCGCGACGAAGAACATGACGTACGCTGTCCAGGTAATTTTTCTATCTCTCGCTTCGGTGTGGTGTTGCTGTCCCGATTCAAGTACATGGCATAACTACATGTAGAAAGAAGTTTCTCAGCTGGAAGATACGAGTGTGGTAGCTTTTGACCGCTGTGTGGTCTTGATATCTCTTTGACCTCGCTCTCGACGACAATGTGTTTTTTTTTTTTCGTGCTCGCTGGTGCCATGGGTTGCACCGGTACTCTCGAGGACCATGAGCCAGGGCGGGCTTGACCGGCGCCATTATGACGCAGACTTGCACAACCAGTCCGGTTCCGTGACCTCTGAGCGTTTGCGTGTCGTAACACCAAATGTGATTCACGGTGTTCACCTCGTACTCACTGGCGTCTCACTGCCTCCGTGACATCAACGGTGGCCATATTTGCAGGTGTCCCACATCACTTGCGTGTATGTTGGGGTAAGGATTTATACTTTTATCGTGATGAGCTACTGGTGACCAAGGAAGATGTCACCGACAATCGCCGATATTACGTAATATCCTCCACCGCACTCCCTTCCCGCGTGTTCGCGCGCTTGTTGCGATGGTTTTGCCCGTGCACAGTTGAAGAATTACGAGCAGGCGGTGATCGAGAAGCGCTTCAGCGAGTTGGAAGAGGAAGAGGTCGATGCGTTGCTCGACGAAGTAAACGAACAATGAATCGATGGGTTGCACATGAGCCGTACAAGTTCCGTCGTTGCCGATGGGTCTAAACTTGGCGAAGAATGCTGTAGGTGAAGCGGGAGGGAGAAATGAGGGCGCGGCGCTAATGTGGTAATCTCCGGACGTTCCCTCTGTTACCGTAAGTCGTGCTGCGACTTGCTCGGGATCGGTCACGATGGAACGACAATCTTTTTTTTGGCGCCGGGTTCCGAATCCTCTACTCACATCACTATCTGCTTCTCCGACACATCTCTACAAATGTGTCCCATAACGCCAACTTGACGCTCGTCAATAAAGCCAGACTTTGCGATACGTTGACCGTGCTGACCACTTCGGTGCTCCTCGTTATATTCCAAGCCCGTGGATAGCCTTGGATATGTGTCCACGCGCCCAGAAGTAACGGGGCATGGTGTAGAAAAGTAATGTGGAATCACGCTGGGGGGGGGCAACTCTTTACAGTGAAGAAGCTGCAACATCAGAATAAATGTTACGCTTGTACATGTGCATATGCCATTGGTGAGGAGCGTCTGCGCAAGAGACAGGGAGACACAAAACAACGACGACGATGGTGCCACCCCTGAATCCTTCCCACCGGACGGCAACGGGCACTGCGTTGTGTCCGAGGAAGGCGAGGGTATATCAATTGGACAGCACCCTTCCGCAAACACTTCGAGGATTCACATCAGTGGGACTCCCCAATTGCATTTTCAGGTCTCAGTTATCATGTCATGTGAAGTGACAAGAATTTTCAAATCGTTTTCTTGGTCCGGTACCATTTTCTCTCAGCTCTACTAAACGTACGAGCACAAGATGGCCGTGGTACCTTCGCGCGGCGTAGACCTCGACTTGTGTCGAACGAATTTTCAAACGAAGCGACACCGATGCCAAAAACAGGCATGTTTCGTGCTCCTGCCCACATCAGTAGCATCGTCACGTCATGTACGTATTTTTTTTTTTTTTCTCCCGTGCTGCAGCTGAATTCTCCGGGCTCAACAAAGCTGCGATCACGAGGTTCGCGGTCCTGCCTCAGCACATGCCCGCCCTCGCCGATGACCGAGCGTTTCACCTCGCGTCACAGTCGTCAGTGGCGGAATAGTACCAAAACCACCTCTCATAGGTCGCCGCCGCGCGCCTGGACGTCAAACACTTGAAACAATTCCCCACGGTGTTCTTCAAAATCGAGCCGCAGTATGCTAGTCGCGGCTCGATGCGTTTGGACAGAATAGGTGTGCTTCGCGAGTCTCAGGGAGGATGGCGGCCTCTTACTATATAGTCTCTCTCTCCTGCTCTTCCCTCGCTTGTTCATTCTCTCACCCATCGATGTCTTACGTATTCCTTCAGGCAGTGATTACCTGCTTGAGAGAGAATGTTTCCCGAGGGGCGATGCTGCAACACGCACACAACGCAACATGACACATGAAGAGGGCCCAAAACGGGAGCGTTGGAACAGCAGATGAGATTCTAAGTTGAAGAAAAAACGGACAACGGCCAAGGACTCAGCCACACAAACGGCATGACTAGCAAAGCCAATATATAGCTGCATATCGGCCACAACCCAACAGAGCACCGCGCAGGCCAGAGGTAAGGAAACACGGGGATATTCATCGAAGACAAGGCAAGACATGGGCCAACACAACGGAATAACGATAGTTGCCAACAAGCTCGAACGGGAAAAAATCAAGCAAGCGAAGCTTCTGATATTTGGGACGCAGGTTCGGAACTCGGCGGCTAGTTACACGAACTGGGATGCTTGATCACAATATGTCCAAAAAACGTCGCTAAGATAATGTAAACTCGTGTGTACCGAGGACTTAGGCTCGTTCCGCGGTTGACGTGGCAGAAGGATCCCAAGGTCGTAGTGGTTTTAGCCCGCTACCGAAGGCAGACAGTGTGTTGATATTTGTGCATAAAGAGAGAGAGAGGTCAAGAGGAATGAGTGAGTTAGGCCGTGCCATGGTCGAGGACCGCCTGCCAAGGCCAGCAAGTGGCCGGTGGGAAATCCGTGAATCCAATGGTGATCTTCCGTGACCATGGTGGTCTGCCACCAGTGGTCTTCTGGTCCAAGTTGGTCGCAAAGCTTTCCAAAGATCGATTCTTCCTACAATTCAAATGTTTTCGCAAGGATCCTACTCTTCCAATGTACCTGCCATGCTCCACACGCACAAATTGAACTTCACAGGCGAAAGTTTCAAACGCAAGGCAAGGTCATTATTGCCCAGAAGTTAAGGAGATGCCTTTGGAAGCCGACCTTGAAAAGAGATCGTCGGCGTGCCCGGCGTTGTGGTTTGTGAGGTCGGAACCCGTTCCCCGGCCTGGCGTCGAAGACAAGGCATGTTATACAACGCAAGTTTTGGTAGGTCCCTCGGTCCGGGGGGGACTGGGCCTCATCCAATACAATATTTGCATCATGTGATCGACAACGATGTCAAGAACACAAAACAACTGGGAGTCAATCAAATGGTAGCAATTCCGGCATAGACACGATAGCTGCAGAGCTCCCCATGATATTTGAAACATGTACCCCTGTTGACACTTCTTCATTCGGACAAGAAGAAAAATTCTCTGAAAGGACAAGAAACCGTTAAGATCGTCCCATCCACCCACCGGTAGTACCAGAGTAGGTTTCCTACAGAGTTGATGTTTAGGTTTATCGCAGTGATCATACTATTAGTTGTAGACAGTCGCCGCGGCGTAAACGTTTCACGCCGTGGCGATATATCCATGGGTGAGGATCTCCTGCCTCCGGGGCAGGACGTCTCATTCAATCCAATACTTCCAGCAAGTGAAGGATAAGGTCGTCATGAATGTGCATACAAGATAAGAGAATGGGTGCCTTTTGTTCCCAGCGCGAATGATGGGGTCTTTTTTGTTGAAGACATGCGTGACGCACGGGTGTTTCAACGCATTCCCAACTTCATTTTTTTTCCACTTGCCTGAAGGTTCGCTGTTGTCAATATCCGTAGGGTAACGACTGTGTCGTGGGCACAAACGACCTGTTCCAGTGTACAATAATCGGACCTCATGGCGTAGTCGCCGACGTCCTCTACCAAATCGCGTAGAACCTGGTAAGTCCCCGCACCCAAAAAAGAGTTTTGGAGACGGCTCCCAACATAAACACTTTCCAAGTCCTGCCAATGGCCTCGCCGAAGGCTGCACCCAGAAATGCAAAAAAAAGTAACTCTATATGAGAATCCTAGCCGAGATCAAGAGCTTTGGACAACAATTCATGCTTTCCAACTCACAAGGGCTGTTCACGGCAAAACCTCGTCCTGGATGCGTACCTGTGAAACTTGCTGACGATTCCCGGCTCGATGCAAACCATCTTGTGGTATTCTTCGTCTCCGAAGTCTCCCAGGCTCTATGACGACAGCAGAGAGACAACGCACGTCACAAGAGTGTTGTACGTCAACGTCTGAACAAACTGCGAAGAGCACGATGTGAGAAAGGCATTCTTCAGGAATTCGAGAAAATGTCCCTTGTGATTGGTAGGACACAAGTGATCTGTGTATACTTGCTCCATGGTGGTCTGTACGGCATCAGTGATCAGAGCATGTTTGCCCGAGGTGAGCTGTGGGACATTGGTCATCGGTGTTGGTCATCGGTGAATGTTTGCCAGAGGTAATCTGCAGGAGGTAGTCTGGGCAAGTTTTCTCCATGATGATCTGCGGGACATACTGTTAGGTGTCAATCGGGCAGATTTTGGAGCCAAAAATGTGACCGGTCTATTCAGCGATTTTGGCGGGGGGCACACGGATTGGGTTCTTTTTCGGCTCTTGAGAGTGCCCGCCTATTATACTGATTACAACACTACACTCAGTTTGTTTGTGCAGGTAGTTCTGCGCCCAGGCAGCAGCGTGGCTCTTCATACGTTCCACACACCTGGACACAAGTCCAATGGAGGCGACTGTAAGCTCGGTTTTCTCTTAAAGTTAAAGGGCGGACGAACAACACCACAAAACATGTTTTTTTGAGCTCTTTGCTCCACGCCCAAGGCGACCTTTGCTCCTCTCGAAAAAGCGAGCTTACAGCCCTCTACCTTGGGTTTACAGCTTTACCACACAACACACCGCATCCGAATCGCATCAGCCAACCACGAGATCTACATGTCTGAAAACGGCCCCTCCAGTGGGACTGCAGCACCCTCACCAGCAGACTATCCCAAAAAAAAAATCGAGGTCCGCGCCGTTCGGCAGCAGGAGGCGCGCTGCGCGAAAGCTGAATCAAAACAAAAAGAAGTTTGAAGGGAGGACGGGACAGTGAATGGTTGCCGCGTCAGCAGAAGATAACACGCGGCGCGCTATCGAACGCGGCAACCTCACCGTCGTAGAGAGAACGCTGGAGGAAACGAAGGACGAGTTGGTCAAAAGTAAGAACATTGTGTACGGGTTGTGTACAGCAGCAGCGGCGGCGGCAGGTGTCTGCATGGCTTCACCGCTCGGCTACTGCTCGGGTGTGTCATGAGGCATGTGTTCCAGATTGGGACCGCGCAAAGGTGTCGTGTTGTGTCCCACAGCAGGGCACATCAGAGCACACACACGAGCGGCGCCCTCGCTCGTGCGCGTCAGTTGTTTTTAGGGAGCTTTCGGACCGTTCCGTGCAATTTTATTGGCCAGTCGATTTTCCATCAGGAAGATCCGAGGTCACTTTTCCAATTTTTTTCCTTAAGGAAATTTGCTGCTTTGACACCCCTAACCGCACGTTCAATTGGTATGTGGGCTCCATGGCGATCTGTGAGGGCGTAGGTGGTCTATCAATGTTTGCTCCTTGGTGATCAGGAGAATTCAGGTGAGCTGGCTCATAATCTGTCTGATGTGTGAAAGATAGCAACCGCAATTTTGGTTCTGTATTGCAGGCACAGTGAATATCCACGATGGTATCAGACACAAACACGAAAGGGAATCAACGCGTTAGCGTGTTTGACGACCTGAAAAGGCGACCGATACCAAAACATCACCATCACAAGAGTTGGTGCCGGGACATGATCCACTCTGTACAAAACGACAGCAACCCATTTCGTAGCATTGTGGGGCGCATAGTACGGAGAGAAAAGCCGCTACGCAAGACGCATCGACCTGACCTGATGACAAAGCCAGGAAAGGCTAAAGGTGCGAAATATCACTGCAATACTGAGCGTTGCACTTCCTTAGTGTACCGCCGATTGCTGTTGTGGAAGCGCGCGAGCACCGTTGTTGCATTGTCCTACATGTCGTTTTCTAGTCGGATCGCCGAAGCATCAGGTACGATAGTACCATACCTTGGCCTTCGCGATCCACGGGTTCCACAGCACGACATCCACCGGGACACACACCTGGTTGGTTGTTTCGTAAGGGTAGGTGGAGAAACGACGCAAGCGACGCATCAACAAGGTCCGACAGGAGAAGCAACGATGATAACTGAACGATTTGCCGACAGAATATACCATCCATTATAATCCTGAACGCCAAATAGCCCACCACTCTCGAAAGGGTTTGACCGCACGTTGTACACGAGGCATGGACAATGGAGGTTTCGACAGAACGTACATCGCACGGCCTCGGCTCACCTTCGCCGCCCCAGGCACTGTTTTTTCGCAGCTGTTGGTGACTGTTGTACCTCCCACCACGCCCACATCGCCAATCTCACCCGAATAGATCCTGCGATTCGAACACAAGCACACCCCCAGTATGCCTTTGTAATGTTCCGGTGCATTGAGCAACAGCATACAAGACACACAAAAAACAGCATCGCCGACGACAGCTCCTCCGTGGGAGCACGCGATTTCGACCCACTGACCACAGGTTGAGACTAGGCGACACGAACACCACGTCTCGCATGACTATTCGCATCGACCCTAACATGACAGTATAATACGAGAGATGGGCACGGGAGTACAAAAGTACACCGCAGCCCTCAACCACCTGTCCTATGAAAGTGGAAGCGGCCAGGAATCCGAAGCGCAAAACCAAATGCCATCGCATGGGTTGCACCCGCGATAACGTCAACATGATCCACAAGTGAGAGCTTCTACGTGCATGGGATGGGACACATTCGCCCTCACCTGTCTACTTCGCGGGTGAAGTCGGCCTGGGGTCGCTCATCCTTGAAAGATTCATTGTTCTCGAGCTGCCGCGGACAACACAACGTAAGCAGAAGCAGAATAAGGGTGCTCATGACGGTAATGCAAAACGGTGTGCTCGTTAGGGTTTGAAAAATTCTAAGTAGGGTGTCCGAAGTCTAATAGAACTCAACACAAAATAACGGTTCTCAAATGCCGTGCAGAACACACAGGGTGATACGGGTTTGTTCACAAATACTGACACCAGTTTCAACTTTCACAGCCTTTCTAAATGCGCACTGTGCAGGGAACTATAAGTCGCACATGACTCATGAACGTATCCTGTAGGGCATTGGACGTTGCAGAACTCGCGTAAGTACGTGTAGATGTATCATTTCGCCTGTTTTCGTGCGTCGGGATATCTCTCGCTGGCGGAAGCGAGTCTTTAGTCACGCTTCCGTCTCAGGGGCACGTAGGGGGGTCGTCGGTGCATTTTCGCGTACGGCCAAGGACCACTAGTCACCTTTGCTTCACACCCAAAGTTGAAAAAACTGGCTCAATACCCCGGGGACGTGTCCGCGCGAAGAAAGCCTTCGCAAGAAATACAAAAACAACTGATTTGAATAAAACAGGAACACTTGTGTTTTGATTCCTGCGCAACGCACTCAAGTCCCACAGACCATGGGAAACACGAATACATGAGAGCGAGTGATCAGAGGCCCCGGATACCAGCAGTTGGACCTGCAGCACAGACGTCACCAGCCTAGAAGTATACACACACGAACACGCGAAAAGTCGCGGCGAGAACAAAATAGTACTCCGTACGTGATGCAAATTCCAGGCAGATTCTGCAGGTTGTATGCAAAACCGGCACTACCTTACGTCATGACGTTGAGATGCAACGATGCGACCGCGATGACATTGACCATGTCCTTTTGCGTCGCCCCCGGGAGGCAAGCGACCTAATTCCCAAAGGGAAGCCTTGTATACTGTAGGGTAATGAAGTGTCAAAAGATGTTCGTGTACACACCGAAGTATCGGGTACGGGTACACACGACAAAAAAACACCAGAACATAACCTTGGTACATGGAATGCCTTCATCACTAGATGCCACGCGGTACAATCGCAGGCACAGCATTGGCGTAGATTATTCCACGGAAATCACATCCCTACACTCCGGCCTAAGCACCCTTCAACCCAAGATCTTACATTTTCCCTGTTCGAAGTCACACTTTCTACACCACGTATAACTGCTGTGCATACGAGCTCCCGAAGAGGATTCGGCGGCTTGCCGCCCGTGGGCGACGCAAGAAGATATGGTCAATGTTGTAACGGTTCGTTGCGTCTCAACTCGCATCAAAGCCCGATGGTGCTGGCTTCAATCCACAATAACAACTTATGGTATGTGCTGGGAAACGTTTTGATACATCTCACTGCTAGTCTTCATTATCATACACCCTACTGCTGTACTCTTTGGCACACATGCTTTCATTTTCTAGAGTGTTGCTCATGGTGTGTGAGGGTTTGCGGCTGTTCATGGAGTCAAGCACATTCTTGTTCATGCATAAATGTCGTTCTGTATTTTCACGAGATAGCCCCAATCGCGGCAACTTAAGCATGGAACAGACGTGGCACGGATGTCTGGCAAACTTCGGCCATGCACCGTACAGTTCCAACGTGCCCCTCAAGAGGAGGCGTGAGAAAGATCCTTTGCCGCCAGATAAACGCGTGTCGTAGCACCAAAAGATTGAAATGACACGTACATCCAGAGCGGCTCAGACCGTCTGAGCAACGCATTCAAGAAAGGGGCAACAAGTGCATACAGCGGACGACAAATAGGCTGTTCCCATTGACAATGTGAACATGCAGAATCGTGTCGAGTCACGCGTTACGTTAACTTACCATGGACTGTGCCGGATCAAACCCTAGTCGGTAGTTCCCACTGTCGTTCACCTTAATTGCAGGTGCTTGAAGTCCAACTCTCTGGTTCAAAGTCGACAGAAGCAATGTGCATAAAAAGCGCAGGCTTGCGTTCACAACTAACCTTCGTTGTGCACAGATTACCTGATCGATGTACCGGACGTTTTGGAAACCCTTGACCTTGGCCCCTTCGGTTTCCGGAACAGACAGGTATGTGTGAAGCAGAGCCTAATCGAAGAACACGAAGAAGCACGACAAAGATCAGTTTGTATATTTGTATACTGTAGGGGAGCCAGAGTGAGATAACGCCCGTCAACATGAACATACCGAGGTCTAAACATCAAAACATAACGAGTGCTTTCGGACTACCAACTGGAGAATGTGAAAATTCCATTGTGGCACCGCATCGGGTGCGGTGCCTTGTCCACCAAAGGAACGAAGAAAACAAGGATAATGGCAGGAACAACACAATGTGGCCAATCAACCTATTGTAGCATCAGGACTGCCGCCAGACCGATGCCACGAGCTAGCTCATGCACGTACGTGTGCTCATCCCCGTTTCTCGGTTTACACAAGCGGCGTGTGCCGACGTTGTAGCACGCGAGAAAACTTTGCAACAAGTAGCACAAGCGACACACAAGCGCAACATGGGGGCAACCGTTGTGGTCACGGCGGCCGTACGTACTGGGAAGCCTAGGTCACACCACGATGAGCACAGCTAGACCAAATAGCCCGAAACTCGAGCAGAAGGCACGATCGCCCCGAACTGCTTTTGCATCAGAACCAACAGCGGCATGATGTGCTTCTTGCTGGTTGTTTATCTTTAGAAGTGGGCGTTCACCTGGAAATCGAAGGCTTCCTCCCCAGGGTTGGTTACGTGCAGCGTCACGGAGAGAACATCGGCCCCGAGGTCCACTTCATACCGCAGTCTTCGTGTCCATGACAAACGCACGAGGCGGGTTGGGGGGCGGGGCGGGGCGGGACAGGGCCGGGCCGAATAATCGACGTGGTAAGTTCTCATCGGGATCAAGTTTGAACTTGAGAGCAGCGTTTTGCCAGGCGAATCAAGTCCCGGACGCGGGCGGTTTCTTTGGTGAAATCCCAGCGTGTATCACTGAACGCAGCTTCCGTTTTGTTGGGCTACTGTACCGGACAACGGAAGACTATCCTCGTGGCTGTTCCTCGGTACAACTAGTGCAACTGGTGCACCACCAATTCTCTCATACCTGAAAGAGTGTGGCCACTTGGCAAGAGTCTCCTCCGAGTGCCCCAGCACGAAGTTGGCCTGGCAGAACAACCAAAAGCGGAAGGGCGAGATGGGATCAAGGGGAAATCTGCATCAGCTACAATATGTCCAGAAGGCATGAACAACGTAGTTAGTTTCTGCACCGGGGGCGATTCGTGAATACGAGCAGGTTGTGCCGCGAGGCACGTCGTCATAGGGGCAGAGTGAGGGGGGGGGGTGTACTCATAGTCGTGCATGCCGTAGTCGTTAGACCATTGACCTCGCATCCCTACAAAGCCGGGACGGAGCACGCCGGGTTCTCANTTTCTGGTGCTTTCACTTCCAGAGACAGTTGTAAGCACTGTGTAACTGCCTCGAGGGTGCTTGACCATTTTAACACAACGTGGTGCGATCATCCCCCTTGCGCGGAGTGAGGGTTCTCCACCCCGCAAAAAAATTTCCACTCGACCACCATAATGGTCACCGCCAAAAAAAAAACGGAGGAAAAAAAAAAGACGGTAACCTGGTTGCCGAGCTCACGAAGTGAATTTGGCTTGTTTTACAACGTCGTTGCCAAGCGACGAAAACCCAATCCCGAGCACGCCGGGGGGGGGATGAGTGAGGGATGGCTTGAGGAATGCCTACGCTTTTGTCGAACACCTCCAGGAAGACATGGCACTGCAGGTGCAGGGCCCAACAAATTTGTGACCTTGGCGACGAGTGGTGTCGCACGCACCGCGCACAAGTGCGAACCCGCCTAAAGTGGTCACAACAAGAGAGGCCTACGCCAAGCCAGTTGGTCTATCCGAATAAGCTTAGAGAGCAGCCGGAAAACACGCCAGGGTAACGATGGTGGCAAATACATGGTCCATGTCCACAGTGCGAAGCCGCAGCCGAAACAGCCGCCGCTGGAAAACTGCCGGCCCTCATATCAATCTGATAGCCATGGTAGCCGCTGCACAAAACCGTGGTCGATAGACACAGCAGAGCAATCCAAAACCTTGAGGTGGAAGGGTGTGCAACCCGTAAATAACCAGCGACACAGCAACCAACACAAAAGGGAGCGTCCGAAACCAAACGGGAATCATCCGAACGCCTCTGTCATGTGTAGTGAGCCCATTGCATGCTAATTTTAGGTTCAGCACGTGGTCATCCTTCTTGCAGACAATGTACTCCTTGTCCTGCTGCGGACAGCAGGAGTCGACGTACTTTCCGTGCTTCACCTTGACGTGGCCTTCGACCGCGGGTTCGCCTTCATCCTCAGAAAGACTCCAAGTAGCTGTGCGAGCAACGCCGTGGCTCGGCATGGCCTTGTCCGGCTGTCCAAACTGGTGCGAAAAGTTTGGGACAAATAGTAGAGCACAGCAAATTTGTGAGTATGGAGAAAAACAAATCCCTATACTTCCTCTGTCACATAAGTAAAGTCCGTTATGATTACACGGCCATTTAGCCGTGTCCGATGTCTTTGGCGATACTTTTTTGAAATCTTGAGCGTTTTTCGGGTTGAAACTCATATTTCTTTTTTTTTCTTGCGCACTACCCTGCATGCACTAGCGGCTTACAAAAAAGTAGTCATGCCAAAAAAGGCCGTATTTTGCCTCTTTCCATGAGGGTGGTGGGGGTGGGGGCACGAAACGAACCATACCAAAAAAAGACAAGAATTATCCCGAACCCTAAACCCAAGGTTACCTCTACTGAACGATCCATTTCGCGTCCTCCCATACAAAAACCAACATAGTGGTGAACCCACACTAAAATCAAGACATTTTCGAGGCCCACACTAAAACCAAGATACTTGGGGGCGCCACGCTAAAATCAAGTTACTTGCGGGGCAAAGCCGACAGGCGTAGGGTCCTAACCCTACCCCCCCCTTGTACTCAACGACCCATGTCGCGTCCGCCCAATGTTTTCTGGGGTAATCACTACCAACGCCGTGCCGCTCGGCGAGGGGGCCTAGAAAGCCCTTGGGTACCCTTTCTTTGCCCGGCAGAATCGCCAACGCTATCTCCACCGCCATGGCGTACCGACGACCCAACGATACTTCCGCACCCCGCTTACGACGTGGGGGTGTCTGGGCGTCGTCCTCCATGATAGCTACGTCGTTGTGGTGGTAGTGGGTGCTCACACAGCACAAAGCTGCAAATATTCTTTAAAATATTCTCAAAATGTTTTCAAAATATTCCCAAAATATTCGCAAAATAGTCCCGTATTTGACACGCTAATTCTCAGTAATTGTGAGTCGGATTTTTTTTTTTTGAGTTATGTGCGTAACAAGCGCTTTCCAACAAACCTAACTAGAGCTTCAGGAACACCTTGGCTGGTGAGGTATGTAAATTCCCCCATAACGGACTTTACTTGTGTGACAGAGGAAGTATACTGTTCCATGGATAAAAACGGGGACGACATATCTTGTTCCATTCAAAATTCAAAGCAGAACTCGGTGCTGCGGTGCAATGGGAGATCAGAAGTTTATCGCGGTTGGCGCAACGCCGTAGGTCATTAGTGTTCTCAGCATCGCTTTTACGGCAGTATCGCACCCACCGCATTCACCCGGGGGTAGATACGAACGCTGAAACATATTTTTCGGGATAGGTTGCATAGGGCGGACCTGCTCTGGATCCAGCACAAGCCTCCGGCCGCTATATTCCAGCTGTACCCTCTTTCCGTGCGCAATGTACACTTTCCGTGGATATTGTATCACGTGGTGCATTCTAAATGAAGTCAAAGGCACGAGCAAACTAGGGCGGCGTTTGTTCTTGTGATGGCGTTGGCTCTGTCCCAGATGCAATTCCAATTCCGCTCCATGTTTGCTAGGTACGTGGTTCGACACTTCCTTGCTGCTATCTTCTCCCGCCCCTTCTTCAAATCTGCCCCATGCACAGACGTTTTCCGTACTCCGTCATCACCCCATTGTGATCAGATATGTTGTCGACTTGTTACCATGCCCCCTGGTTTGCGATGTGGTGGTACCTGAGGGAACACGAGTGGGATTCCTCCTCGGATAGCCTTGGCCCCATTGAAGACAGCCTTCTCGGACAGGAAGAGCACATCATTCCCTATTGCCATAGAAAAGAAACAACACAGAGGTTTTCGTTCATCATTGTTTCAAAACCAAGCACGGGGTGGGACACGTCTGCGGGCCAATGAGTTACCTCTCCATCTTGACTTCAACAAGGTCGAGCGCGGGTCTAGGTATGCACGTTCGCACGCACGAATTGGAACACTCGATTTTCATGCCGATACTAGAAAGGACGAAGAAGGAACTGTTTGGTAACCTCCAACACCTCCTAGCGGCTAGTTGGAACTTCGAATCTCGGCCAGGGGCGATGTTTTGGCCCCTCATACACGTGGGAAAACAACGCCCTCGATAGCCTGTACACTCGAGAGGATGTACAATACTTGTGAACCTGTTTGCCGCTAAAAAACGAACGCATTCCTCCCACAGGTACTTCTAGGTGTGACCCGGGATCACCTTCAAGGTACTTGCGAGCGGCGGTACAAACGGAAAATGGCAAACAAGAAAAACGCGTACGATAGGTTGTACAGCTCATGTCGTCAACCAAAGAAACCGCAAGCATCCAATTTGTCAAGTGCTACTGTACGTACAGGTCAGAGATGGACGAAAAAAGAAACAGGAAAGACCAAGGATGCTGCCCTGCGGTAGATCACGCGCATCAATTTTGCATCTTTCAAGGACCGATACCGATGAGGACAGGAGAGTGCAGCAAAACAGTGGACGAGGCCAGCGGCCACAAAAAAAAGTATTTGATATTACTAATAGTAGGTCGGGCAGACAGTACCTTTCGGGATAGATATCTTGCGGACGCCTTCTTCGAAGAGACAACACGTTGGTGACCACGCGATAACGCGAATTGCGGTTGACAGCTGACTGGATGCCCATGCGAGCTGAAGGCTGGTCTCCGACTGTTGTATTCTGTGTGCCAGTCCGCAGTAGCACATACGTTTCGCCAACGTCTTTCTTGGATTGCAAGAGCACACGCCCTTGCTTGCTCCTAAAACAGCATGCGCGTGCTCCGCAACTCGAAGCGGTTGGGTGCAACATCGGTAGGCGCCATTCAAGCAAGGAATTCTTTGAGGGCAACACATCGAGAGGCCGGAGCGGACGCACACTGGAATACACCCCTCAAAAAGATGGGTAAGATCTCCTCACCGCTCGATGTCTTGAAACTCGTGACTGTGGCCCCGTGTAGCTGCACCTCGACACTGCCACCATTCGGATGCCTGGTCGAACAAAAAAAAGAAAGCGCAACACAGGGAAGGGAAAAATCAAGCAGAAAAGAAGGTACTTCAGCGAATACATCTGTTCGTTTGTGTGGCTTGGTGGCGAAATGGTCACTTCAGGACGACGTATTGCTATATTTTTACCGTCGCTCGTAGCGAGGGGCCACCGTACCGCATTGCCTCTCCAACTGACTAGCTCCGATACGACGGCGCACGGAGTAGTCCTGCTGTGCTGCATGCCGTCAATGTTTCTATGAGGCGAGGTCGGTTTACTTGTTCGTTCCTCAAGTTTTGTCCACGATCGTCGGCCTCCATCACACCAGGATACACCACGATGTGGGAGAGGTACACCTCGCCGGGTTTCGAAATACGAAACTAGCCGCTAGATGAATTTCGAGGCCTAAAGTTGTATTATCTGGTCTCCCGTAAGTTTTCGCGCGTGTGAGAAAAGGAGACGGCGAGAGAGAAAGCTCGGCGTCGATGAAGGTTGCACATATAGACTATTAACAGAGCCGCACAAGGTAGACGTCATCCGTGGCGGAGCTCTGATATCGTGATTTCGTTATCGTCTTCGTTTTCCCCGAAAATTGTAATCGCTTATCTTGGAATTTTTGTGACCGCATCAAATTTGGCTCTGGTTTTCTGTTGTACTCTTGACACCGTTGTCGATCACTTGATGCAAGTGTTGGATTGGATGTGGCCTCCTGCCCCCCGGCTGGTGGACCCACCCAAGCTTCCGTTGTATGCACATGACCGTACCTCTTCTACGACGCCAGGCCAGGAAAAGGGTTACGCCGCACAATTCCCACAATTTAATTGAGCCCTGTCGCTAGGCGCGCCGATTATCGTTCATCCACGTCGGGGGCCTGACGGCGTATCGTTCATCTCTGAGGAATCTCTATCCTACCCGCTTTTGTCCCCGGATCGCTGGCGGTCGGCCCAATGTACCGTTCGTTCCCATGCTCCGGGTTCCAAGTGCCCAGTTTCTAGACTGTCAACCGCTGTTCCCAACCACGATTTTCCATTGACGCGGAAGGAGTGCAAGGTACTCTTTTCGAAAGGATTGCTCGGGCATGTTCGCTGGCCGCAGGCTTGCAGGGCGGCCATTAAGCGGGGAAGAGTGCATGTCAACGCCCCCCTGTTTCTGCTATCCTGCTTGTAGATTCCCACTCAACGCCGTTGGCGGCTGAAATGCACCCGTGGTGGCCACAACATAGCAACTTTCGGGATATCGGTTTGGGTAGAAACAGATGCGTCATTGGACGATAGAAATAACTTACCGAATCCGGCAACCGCATCACGCCTTTAGCAAATGGCAAATCGATGCCACGCCTCATGAAGCGGAATTTCAGTGCCTAGAGCGCAAGATGTCACAAAACTTTTCCGGCGAACATGCGGGTGCCGTCCCCGATCGAATGCTCCGCAGACCTCGCTCTGGCTTCAGAGCTAGCATTTTCTCCTCGGTAATGAGTGTCAGGTGGGAAGATACAGGCGCTAATAATGAGCCGCGGAGCGCGAAGCGCGACCAGAGTTCCCTTCGTCCCAGGAGCGGAAAAAAGGCTTTACACATCAAGCTGTTGCTGTTCCAACACGATGCAGGGGCTCAGGTTTGGTTCCGCGGGCCCTGAATAACCCTCCTTTTTGACCTAACGAGGTGTAGACTATACAGCACCCGTTGACGGTCTATTTGCTCCAAAGGACGAAGAAAAATAGGGCATTCTTCGTCACACCGATTTGGGAGTGTCCCGACGCAACAGATGGTCGTGCTCCATAGGCGTTTATGTGCCAAGAATTCGCAGAAGACACCCCACCCTAACCCCGGGAGTTGAAGCGGTAATGGAGGAGCACAACAATCGGAGATTGCACACACGCCAAACACGCGGGTCAAACCCACGCAAAACCAGAGGTATTTCTGGTAAGTTTCACACACCCACAGAATCACACTCACCCCCCGTTGTAGCCCAATCCCGTCCGTAGGTGAAAGTACAGCAGCAAGAGCAAACCCGGTGGCCGCTCCCTGGCTACACAACAGGGTTCCTTGACGTTGTGTTGGAAAATCTCACAATGATGATGATGTCTAAAAACAGGATAGATGGAGGTCTTGCATACAGCAGCAACAACAGTACTGCAGAGAGCGAAGTTGAGGCGTTTGGCGCTGATGATGCAGTCGCCACATGGGACTCAGAACGACATGCGCATGTGCTCTTTCGCCGGACGACATTAGGACGGGGGATAATGTAAGTAAACAAACGCCGGCGCCTCCAGCAAGCGAAACATGAGACTGACATGTGAAGGAACGGTCCATGCGAGAGCTGGCTCTATGTAAACTATGCTCTTTCCACATTCCACACCGCGCTGCCCGATGGGCTCTACAAATCGAGTGTATTCGTTTCTGCCACCATTCGTTCATTTTTGTCTGGCGGCAGTCCTGTTCGGTGCCCATTGTTTGGCCGTACTGCTGTAGTAGGGTCTCGTATGTCACGACGTGTGTGTGTGTTTCTCTTCCGTCGGTGTAGACTTGAAAACAGCGCGGAGCGGATGCAAAGTCTTGGATCCGCTCGAATGCTCCGGACACGCATGCTCATGTATGAAGTGCGGAAGTCTCCGCGGGGTCTCCGAGCGTGTGTCTAACACAGATCCCAGGTATTGTACGGATGTACAGGTGTACTGTAGGTATGAGTCGACCCCGCGGCTCAATTCTCCTCCCTACTCCATTGGTTCCGCCCTGCAGCAGTACTTGTACGAGGTAGAGAACAAGAACTTTTGTGGATGGAGTCTGCCGCATACCTGGTGGCTCATCCGTGGCCCGGATGGGGGCGCCAGCCTTCGTCGCCGGCCCACGACCCCTCGTGGACACAGGCCGTGTCATCACCTAGCATGGTACTGCCACCCGGGACAACCGGACTATTTACAGGATACATCGCCGGGAGAGCTGTGGTTGTTGTTTTTCTTGACATTTAAACTAAACTCGTGTCAGTTGCTAATCCTAAAATCTAGCAAAGACTCGGTCCGTGGTCACAAAAATGCTAGAGCCATCAGATGATCTAAAGAACACACACTATTAGCAAGGAAAGGGTACGCAAGCCCGAGGAGGTACACCTACAATCCCTGCAGCACGTTTGCGTGCTCACAACTGAACTACACATACTACAAATCGACTAAAGCAGCAGCATCACCCCCCTTGTCCCGCATTTAACCAAAAGGAATGTTTGTCGTCTACAGCGGACTGCTGTCTGAAGTGCTGTCTGTACAATAATAGCACCATGGTGCATGGTACACAAGCTCGGGGCATGCAGCTGCTGTCTGAAGTGCTGTCAGAATGAGTCCGTGGACATACCATGAAAAAGAACACCCAACCAAAGCCATGATTGCAATTGACAATCACCCAAATCTATCCAGATCATCTGTTTTAGGAGAGTGCAAGTCGGCGATGTAGAGCAGAAGAGCACCAGCCCCTACCCATGATATTCGGAACCAGTAAGTTCCTGAACCAGTGCACCACCGTTCGCAGATTATTTCCACAGATGCTGAGCAACCTTTCGCGACGTATTGGCGTACTTGGGTCGTGGCCGGACGCAGGGTACGCGGCACGGACCACGGTGCAACGGAGAACGGGAATGGGAGATGTACGGCGCAACACAGCACAGATTCGCCGCTGCTTGCCTGCTGGGCAGAAGGGTCAACGCGTCAACACACGACACCATACATGTTTTACAGCCACCATGCGTACAGGGCAGGCAAGTAGAGGGAAGTCTTGGAGGTACCCTGGACCCTAGCTTTCTCGTGAATGCCGCAGTTATCAATCCCTAGCCAACTCTAGGAGAAGCAAGCGACGGGCAAGTACCTGGCACACCATGTAGACTACAGCAGTACTTCGTGTATTTTGTATTTCTCACTGGGACACTGGGACTCACGCGAGTGCCACGCATGGCTGCCCTGTAGTACCACTAGTTGTCACGCCAAGAGCCATGTTCACCGTGACCTGTTGCAGCGTGCGACCTGTTGTTGTAGTTTCCGGTTGGTTGCACTGCCGGGATCAAGCCATTTTGGAAGGGGCTCCGTGGGATTTCGGAACCTGCCGATGTACGGTAGAGAGGGGCACCGGCGGGGGTGACGTGATGGTGATCTCGGCTCGGTTGTTTCAGTTCTCACCCGACCCCCCGTCGGTCTCGCTCTCTCGCTCCTGTTCCCTCGTTCTCTCGCTGTCTCCTTGTCTGTCACCCGCCGCACAGGCGAGAATAACGAGAGGTGATTTCGACTTGAGCTGCTGTATAGCAGTACAGTAGTACCCAACCCCGTCGATAGCCATTTTTGTGGATTGTAGACGCATGATGCACGATCTTTGCGAGAGCGCCGCCGCCGATGTGTTCCAAAAACAACGTGTTTGGATCGACTAGATCAAAGACTACAGCGTGTGTTGTGCAGTCTTGGATCTCCTGCCCTAATCGAGTTTCTCGCTACCGTTTACAATGCTTTGTTTTTTCAATTTTGTCCACTTTTCTTGCCCGAAGTGCGCCATGAGTCTTTGTCTTTGGCGGGTGTGGGTATAGACTATGCTACACTTGTACACAGGAGGCCGATACCTTTGCCTACAGCAGTAGAACGTGCATTGCAGTCTACGTGTACAGAGTCTACCGTTGTTGTACTGTAGCCCAGAATTCTGTATCGGCTCGCCTCGACTTCGCCACTTGTCTCCTGCAATATCCACACGTAGCGTTGACGCGTGCCTGGCCGCGTTCGTTCGGTTTCGTGTCGATCTTCGTCTTCGTGCAGCTCCATTACCTTTCTTTGACGATGGTCAATAGTCTACACCCGTGTTGCACCGCCACCTGGGAAGAGAGCCTCGGTTTATGCTAAACGTACTGCAGACATGTACTGTAGTCTATGTGTTACTCTCACGTGGATGTACGCTGCAGGCACCGCCCCCTGACGCAACGAATAGCGAGGAGAAGAGGATGGAAGATGGATGAAAGAAGCACCCGAGACCACGTGGAGATCGCAGTCGACACCTCCAAGTTCGAGTCGTGGCCACTGTTGAGGCCGGATGAGCTGGTTACAACGCCGACGAACGTGCTGCAAGCGAGCGCTAAGGATCTGGATCTTATGTGTCGACAAGTTGCAGGCAAGAGGGATGCACGGGTGTTTCATACCGTTGAGTCATGGCTGTGGTCACGATTACACAGCAGTAGCAACGACAGCAGTGCCAGCATGGTCGTGAAAACACGGGATCTGTTCGAAATGATCCGAGAAGCGCCCCCCCTTACCGTAGCTATAGACTATAACTGCCCGCTGACGCCCCCCGCAGCACCCGTAGACAACAGCAGTAGCCCGTGCAACCTATTCGAGGGCTCGCTACGAGGCAGACGCCGAGAGGACTGACCATGGCCTCCTCTAGGGAAGTACTGAATCAGGCAGAAGAGGATGGTTCGCCGAATCACCCGCTTCCCACAGAAGAAACTGTGATTTCCTAAGAGTATTTTCAACTCCTGGCAAACGGATGCTGCGTAAGGGATGGTATCGGCGCCTCCTTCAGCAGGGCCGTTCCCATGATCTCATCATTTTTGATGGTCTCGGTAACACATGTCGAGGGAACCTGAAGTATTCCGATTCTAGTTTAGCGTTGCCTTGTGCAACGTCCACGGGACGAGACCAGGGGTTGTAGCTCGATGTTACAAGTGAGTTACGAAATGAACGTTCAGGTGGAGCTGAAGCCATAAACGACGTTCCATCGTAATTTCCGAACGGTGACGTGCCGCACTTGCTGTGGTTCCATATTGCTTGCAGGGAGAGACTCTATCACGGACTACGCTCGAAGGCAACACGAACGTACCACGACCATCCTCTTGGAGAGGGCTGCTCAAGTCAGAGTGCGGGCACTGCTAGCAGGTGGCACACTCGTAGTGTTCACCCGGAACCGCGTAGTCTAGTTTTGCGGTCACACATAGTCCATTCAATCATTCAAGATTGGTTCCCGATTGTTTTTTTCTTCACTTCAAATCAGCACTCACGGCACTAGTGCCATTTACTCCAACTCACACAGAAGAGCCGCTCTGTACCCTCCCCTCCTGCGGTACTTTGCCTTCGATTTTTAATGCGAGAAGAGTTCAGCACTCTCTTCCCTCTGTGTACACACGAACTAGCTCTATCCACTGGGCCAGGAGCGGAAGCGAGAGAAAAACTCACTTTACAAGAAAAGCTCGCTTACGCCGGGATTCGAACCCCTGACCTGACCTCTAGAAGGTTTCGAGGCTACCAACTAGACCACCGGGGCGACCGGCGTCATGCAGTCAGGCGACCACACCGACACGAGTTCGGGCAGAACAATGGCATTAATCCAAGCAGCAATGTTTTTCATCGTTTTCCAAGTGGTTCGTGAACCTTTTTATCGGTGGTGCGGTTTCAGAGGGCCCCGTAACGTGTCAAAGGGCAATTACCGGCATCGCTTTCAAGAGTGTTACCAACATCGTGTTTTCAAGAAAATGGGTTGATTCGTTCACGGTGAGATCGACCTGATTACAATATACGCTAGGGTTTCCTGCACCCCGTCGAAACGGCTGTGCTCTCAATTCTTGTCTGCTCGTTAGCCTTGTGTCTGTGACTGAACACAGAAGAAGAACTCCTCTGTGCGGCAGCCTAAATCAGCTCGGCCGGTTTAATCACGAACAGGAGCGTCTCCGGTCCTATGTACGCAACGAACGATGCCGGTCTCGTCGCCAATATTTGCAAGTCCGTCGAAGCCACCATTTTTATTTTTCTGTGGATCGCCGAGGAAACAAGCAACAAGGCCCCACCTATACAAAGGATGGCCGTACTACTGCTCCAGTGCAACGTTTACTAACTAGATTGTCCCAAACTACGTTCCAGCCTGTGTTGCGTGTGAATGTCACCTATTTCATTCTGTCGGGTTGTCCGTGCCCTGTCGCATTCAGGGACGGATTTTGTTGGTCGAGAGAGTCAAATCAACAATGGAGCACCTGCGACACGTCCGCCGGAAGCTGAAAAGGTGCCATCACACGATGTCTCGTCGATAAGTCGGGCCCTTGCTGAAGGGCACGCTCGGCCATTCAAGGACCGTTCTTCGGCCGGTTGCATGAAGGACAATAATACAGACGACAACCTGGTGGTTCGTTGTGGATTAGGTCCAACACGTGGTGACATCGTCCATGCTGTTCGGCATTGTTTGAGATCACCCCCAAGGATGACGTCATCGAGAGGGCCATCGATTGTTTTCCCTATTTTTAATTCTGCATCGGTTGGCGAAGACCAAGACGATGTCGAGGCGTCCTTGGTGTCCCAGGGACACGGCACTAGCCTCGGAAAAGTCACTGGTGGCCCTCCGGGCCGGCAGTCTATCGGCGGAGATGGGCAAGAGACGGCTATTGACGGGCAGACATCTACAGCACCCAAGACTTGTTCCCAAGCTTATGCTGGTCGTGCCGTTGCGCAAAACCTTTCGCAGCAAGGATTGATTTCATCCGGTTTTGACAATGGCAATGGTACACTCAAGATTGTTGCCGCTGCTGGTGCTGCTGCTCCTGGGGTAAAGGAAAGGGGGCAAGATCAGCCCACAGAGTTGTACGGGCCTGCGGCTACTGCTTCTACCGCGACACAGTCGTCCCTAGCGTGCCACGGTAACAATCGCGAGAAGCAACCCACATCGTCCTGCATAAATCGTGCGGTGCAAGATAACTGGGGCACAGTGTTCGTGGTAGGAGGCGGCCGACGGAGGAGGAGGACCGTTGTACGACAACGGTCAGTTGAGGTAGAAGAAACCCCTGCAGCAAGAAGAGCCCAAGTGAGTGCTTTGTTCGGTTAGTGAGGCACTGCCGAACTGCTGAGCAGAGCGCGACTACGGACTTGCTATGCTTTCTGGATGTCTATATTGGTCAAACAAGATGAGGGGTTCGGCACTGGTTTCCCATCTAGGCGGGAATGTCACACACAAAGTGCTCCACAGTTTCCACCTTGGTTACTTTTCTGTTGCCCTTCGGCTGAACAGGGACAGAAAATGCGCTGATGCACGCAGAAGTGACACACCTCCAAAACATGTGATCAAATGGCAAAGCCCCTTGTATCCCGCTAACTTGTCAACATGCAGGTCGAGAAGGAGCGACAGGAGCGAAGGAAGGCATCCCTACGCCGCCTGATGGCGAGAAAGGAGCAGCGAGCCGTACAACAGGTGGGTCCAAGAGGCCCGCGACGCATCATTATGTCCTTGCAATTTGCATGCCGTTGCTCTTGAACGCTGCGAGAACGAGTGTGACGGCTGGGCGCCAAAGTAGAAACTCGTAACGTAAGAGGACGAAAAACAGAGGCGTCGTCGGGCCCGACCGAATGTTACGAGTAGTGCGACGCTGAAGCGTGCCGTGAGTGATATTGGCAGGATGCTTTCGTGGCGCCATGATTGCCCCAAAACGGACCAAAGAGCATCTAGTTGATGCCCGCCCATCAGCAGGGTTGTTGACCTTTTTTCAATTTCCCCAGTTCGGCCCGTGCAATACCGGCGGTGTTTCGTCCCCGTCTCAAACACCAGCACGCTACTCAGATAACATGGGGCAGCAGCTCGGCCATCAGCAACCCTGATTTGTCTGAGCCCGCGTCGAGTTCCCGCAAACCGTTGTCCTAGGCGCGTTGCCGTCGACCCAGCAGACCCAAACGTCCACCTATTATAGCTGTGAGGAGATGTGTAGGGCCGAACTGAGTGTGTTTTTGTTCGTCTGTGTTTACATCATGCAGCGAGCTCGACGACAGCGAAGAGCTGCTGCCTCCAGCCACGCGGCAGCAACAGCCGCAGCTACTGAAAACATACCATCGGTTGTACCAGCAGAATCGCTAGGAAGCCCCCCGCCGCATGGGGTGAGAGCTACACACCCTCCTTTGACTCGGGCGGAGCAAGGAGCAGGACACAGAGAACGGAAACGAGCAACAGGAGTAGGGGCAGGAGGTGTAGGAGTGAAAGGAGGAAAGCAAGCTCCGAGGAGTCCGGGGGGTGATAATGAAAGCGTCGGTGGCGACGGTGACAGCGCAATCTTAACTTCTGGCCGGAAAGCTGTTCGACGTCATGAATATCGACAACATCCGGTCGAGGAAAGCAATATCAGCTTTGACGAACGCCGCACCCACTTCGCTGCCGTAGCGACAAGCGTAGCGATGGCCGAGAACAATATGGATGATACCACCAGCGGCAGTTCGAGCGAATCTGTGAGTGGTGGAGATTCTAGCGACGACGACCATATCTCCGTTGACCAAGTACAGGCCTTGGAGGAGAAGGAGGAGGAGGAGGAAGACAGAGAGGACGAGGAGGAGGGGCTCACAACACCGACAGGTATCGCCGATGGTACCAGCAAGAATACAAGCCGCCCGGCGGTCGGCGGGCTGGAAAGTTATCGGGCCCGAGATGCTATCAAACAGCTGGGGTTGCCACCGGAACACCAAGCTTCTGGGGACGATCATGAAACCTCCGGCAGCAGCGGACATGGAGTGCCACTCGAGTGTTGCGGTGGCTGTCGCAGTCCCCTTCGACATGCGGCAGGGTCCAAAGTAGATGCTGTCGAAGCGAAAGAAACACGAAACAGAGGCGATGCGATTGATGTACTCGATAACGCCACGGAAAGAAGAAGACCTGCGCATGGCAACGGCATCGGCGAGGCTGGCTCTACTCCTGTGCCTGAAGACGGTGACTTTCATGGTCCTTCATTGGCTAATCCTGGGTCCTCAACAACACCCAAATCATTTTTACGTGAGAACGTCGTCGATCAGAAAAGCAAGGTGGCCGTAGCCTTAAACAAGCGTCGCGGAGAAGCAGAACGCCCTCCAAAGCATCCGAACGCGGCGGCGGCCATCCCGGTGCCCTTGTTTTCGCTCGAAAGTGGTATGAGTGCAGACGCCGATCCCGTGATGAATGACCACCATATGGTAGACATGAATACGGAAAAGGCAGGGACGATGGGTCCTGGACCCGATGAGTGGGAGGAAGTGAGTGGCCAACGGTATGGTCCACAAGACGACGATTGTGATTCTGACAACACCGAAGGTTCCGGTGCTACACTCGAGATACAGGGTCCTCTGCACGTCCAACCTGTTGCCGAAAACCGTCAGGCTAAGCATAGATCTGCTAAAAGAAGCACAGGCTACGGGTCACTTGTTACGGTAACGCCACAGCCGCCCAACTGTGATGCTGGTGAAACGAAGCAAGGACGAAAGCCCGGGTTGATTGCTTCGGCAAACGGCATTGTTTGCGTGTCTGATGTCGACCTTGCCGCACCGAGAATGCCGCCTGGGCTGTCCCTCTCTGCACCCACGTTGGCTTGCCCTCGACTGTCGGTGTCATCACCTTCGATGGATCACTGCAGTCCTTCCGATGGCGAGACAGGGAATGATTGTGCAGATGTTGGTGTCGAGCCCTTACTACCAGAACCGCCGGCACGGAGAATGTACCCACCCGAAGGTCACAGCCAGGCAGCCGCCGGTCGCAAGGAGGGTACCGGCGACAATTGGAAAGCGCACAGCAACCCGAAAGCGCAGGATTGTCGCGATGTGTCGAAACAATCGTACAGCGCTGGCGACGAAATCGTAGACAACACGTCCGCGAAGTTTACGGTTGAGCCGCGCCATGCATTTGCGACTGTTCCTCAAGGGCGTCGTCCACGAAGAAGTGGAACACCGCCGGTGACGGGCACCGGTGATGATGGTTCGAAAGCGACGTGTCTTCAAGTTGAAGTTCCCGAAACCCCCGGTGTTGCAGCGAGCGGTGATGTTGCCGGCCACTTAAAACCGGTGGAGAAAGTACCCAGCAGCAATACGTTGGCAACGTACACGGATTGCTTTCCGCGTTTTGCGGCCATCTTGTCGGCGCACCACAATGGACGGGCACTCACAAGGTATGACAACTTTGCTGTTTTTCGCATCTGACAGTACCTCATCCTGACGCACATTTCCTTGCCGAACATACTCCCACGTACTCTGTTCACCATCTCCTGCTGCAAGCAGTGCTCGTGGGCTTCTTGTGATCTGATGATTGCATTGGATTAGTTCCGGATTTTGAAGGATTAGTTCCTCCCTCGATCTGACCTATGTTGGCAGCACTCGCACAGATTGCTCTGATATAGTCGAATACTCGGCAAGTTCTCTGCTGTCGCTTTCTTCAACCGTCGCGTCAACCCGCACTCCGTTTACCGAGTAATTGACCCACCCCGGCATCCCGGGCATGAACACCAACCTAATTTCACCTGTGTGACGCGGAATTCTCAGCACAGGTGATCCGCAACAGACCAAGGCCATGCTTCCTTTGCCGAAATCGCTGTCTTCACTTGACAGGCAAGCGGACTGCCGTAGCCTACCACTGACGTCTAAGATCTTGTCCAGGGGAAAGGCGGATGCCGGTGGGTCGGCAGCGAATCGAAGAAGGATAAAGGAGCTAGGACTTACAGGAGTGGAGGAGGAAGCATGCCTCTACTGGCAGTGGAAGCTCTACAACATACACGTGCGGGTCATCAAGGTGAGATTGGCTTCTGCCTATGATTGCGCAACGGGCAATATACGAGGAGGTTGGAAGAGAGTCAACATTTCCTTCTTGTCGGTTGCGAGAAGTCCACAATCGCACCGTACCCTGCAGGCTTTCTACAGGATGTTTCACCCACGTTGTTGACAACCAAGTACTTTGTTATCTGCACATAGTCGCCTGTGGGCTCTTTTCTTGGAAATGATCAAGGTCTTCCCTATCCTCCACAGGACTACGCAGCGGTATTTTCCTGTGGAGACGGCTGGTCAGGAACCGGCACATCAGATGCCTCCAACTCCCTTGTCTACAGGTTCGACCGACTCCGGCGTCTGAGGATGACCTTCATGTGACGCGTTAAGTCTGAAAGCAGCCCATGGTAATGAAAAATATTTCCACTATGTTCTTCAAATAGTCATTTTGATTATAATCAAATCCTCGCCTCACTGTCAAAATGCTTGCTGGTAAGTGGTGACTCGTCGGCACTTCACTACCGAGTCAATTCGAAGGCCAGGCCGGAGGTGTACAACATCGTCACGGACGTCCTGAACAACAGGTAGGCGAGCGACTGGTTGTAGAGCTTGTCTTCAAGATTGCCCAGAACATTCGGAGATCTCGGGGACTCTAGATGTTCCGTATGCAGTGTGAACAATAGCAGTGGCGCCATCAGAAATGATAGCGTTGAGACGATGAGGATAAATACCGTCTCAGCCTTGCACAGGGAAGGAAATTCAACGATTACAGCGAATCGTGATATCCGATTCCGTCCTCGGCCCTTCCCAGTTTTGATAATGGTGTCCTTAATTCACAAGGAATACGCGCAGTGTATTGATACATACACTCAACATATTTGAATAGCGAAGGGGCCAACACTCGAGTTTAGATAGTGCGAGTCTCTGTCCGCATTCAACATGCACACACGCATGAATGTGCTACCCTCAGGTGCCAGCAGTGGGAAGAATTGCCGACGGGGTTGGGTCTGAAAACGACATGGAATCTCCTCTGGACATGGTCAAAGCCCCACATTCAGTACAGCAGCCTGTTGACGTGGCAAAAGGTAATCACTGTTCTGTCGGTTCGCAGTATGAGCGCAACAGATGGAAAACACCCCAGACCGTCGCTGAACAAGAGTAAGTGAGGCTCTCTCATAGTTTCCCTTCCTTTCCCGACGTGGTGCTGCTTTTCACGACCACACGCTGGAGCGGGCGTATGCGACCTAGGTTGCGTCAGTACCAGGCGTAGCCTCCATGGACTCCACGGCGTTTTCGCCATATCCGTTGTCGTGTGACCTTCTAGTTCTTTCATCTCCGTTTGGTGTTGCAGAGTGTTCCGGGTAACCAACCGACACTACGTACCCGACTTCATCCTGCTTTGGTTTTGGTTTTGGTTTCGTTTCGTTTGGCTCGGTCTTATTCCTCTCCTGCTGTTTCGCTGCTGTTCGGTGGTGGTATCGCAAAGGTAAACCATTTTCCCAACTCGCGGGAGCTGACAAGAAAAGACCTCCTCAACAAGCACATGTCCAGGTAAGTACATGAACCGATGAGGCGACAGCGGTGACACCATCCGCACGGCGAAGACTGCTCGATGAGGCAGCGCCATGTAAAACGGAAAACATGTTCAATCTGTAGCTTGGGCGCTGTCGATTGGTTCGTGGTGCGAATAACATTCCCCAAATGATTCTCCCGATTGGACCAAGAGTCACTGATGTTATCACGGCCAAGAGCGGCACGCTACCCTGTATGGCCAATAGCCGGCGAAAGATAAAAATGACGGTCCCCTATCGTTTGGCTGTAAATACGGGGTGCTGTCCGCATGTTCACCATTTGTGCAGGATCATATACTTCCACTCCGTATTTGGGGAGCGGCTAGAACTGCCGGTTTGTATGAACGGTCACAAGCTTCTCGGCTGGATGATACCCATATTTGACGATGTTGCGTTCCTCCACCGTATTTTTCAGGTTCATGGCCCCCGGCGGACGCCTTGCCAAGGAGTTCCACATCATGCCTCAGACCTTCGTCCTGCCTCACGAGTTTACACTCTTCGTCTCAGCCTTTACGTCGTCGTCAGGTATTGCGTGAGATAATAACTCTAAATCCAAACTGCCGTCGCTGCAAAGATGCAAGTGGCGGCTGACGACCTCTTCAAACCGCGTCCGTCGAACGCTTGCCAACACACGCGCGACGGTCTGCGCAGATAAACGGGATAACGCGCTCGTGGTCGGTATGGGCTCGCCAGTGCACAAATCAAGCAATGCATTCCAGTCGCGCCACACCACGTATTGTTGTTCCGAACTTCCGACGTTACTTTTGCACTAAACTCCCCCAGGGCGTCCACGACAAGAGCCGCGGGAAACCTCAACAAGACGGGGGGGTGGAGGAATCTATGACGTAGATTCCAGCGAAGAGGAAGAAACATGGACGAAATCTAAAGGGGCAGGCGATTCCAGAATAAGAGTTGGTGAGCTTCTTTCGTAGCGAAAACGCTCCCTGCGAGCAACGAGGGGTGGTGGTTGTGCGACTGATGGTACTCGCAGGGATAGTTCCGATCCCGAGGCACGGCGGCGGTGGGAGTTTTACCTTTGACGACCGGTGACCCGAAAACTTTTGCTTGGTAAGAGAGGACACGATGAGCGGGAGCCATGTATAGCTCCAACCGACATTGACACTTGTTTGTGTACACGTGTTCAACAAAACAATTTTTGTAGACCTCAAGGATAAGCTTAGCTCCACTTGGCGTACTTCTTTATTGTCTGCCTCTTAACGAAACGGTAAAGAGAAGCGAGATTGAATGCCGTTGACCCAACACCTTCAACGATTGTACCGGAGTTGAAAAATCCCAGGTCGTTCTTCGTCGAGTGTCAAGAGGGCCCAGGCAGCACCATCGTTCAACCTACCATACATGAGATGAAGAAACGATAAGCACGAAACCACACTGGTTACTCCAGATCCCGATACCATAATGATCAACGAAACATAGGAATGGCGTAACATTTTTGCGCCAATCACGGAGTCTCGGAGATATCGTCGAAGTTGAACTGCCACAGTGCAGAGAATGGACACGACGATGTTCGTGTGTCACTCCCATTTGTTCTGGCCCTCGACACCTCAATCCGTTCGTACGTCGTTCTACCAGCCAGCCGGGGTCACTGGGCGCAGGCCACACTACTGTAACTTGCTTTGGTTTGGTCCATCTTCCTTCCGTGGTGCGTGCCGTGATTATTATTGCGGAAAGGACTCAGGCCTTCTTTTCCCTCCTCGATCACGAAGTAGAGTTTGCGTCAGCACGAATTTATCGCCTTCCACGGTTGTTTGGGTAAATAATCCCAAGTCTTAAAATACGCGGAGATTCAAACTCGCGTTGTATGGGCTTAAGACGATGCGTCAACGAATTACACCGCGCGAACTGTGCATGAGGGGCGGCTGGTGGTTCCGGGGACCAGTTGAGATAGAGAGATCAAGAAGAAGCATATGTGTTGGGAATGATCCAGGTGGGGCTCAAACACCCTTAGACCAGCGCCAACAGATGCGACAGCGGTGGAATGTCCTTTGCGTGAAAGTCGCTCGCTGCAAATCATGATCGTCGTACACCAAACTATTTGGGTACTTAACGGGAATGCGAACGTATGTAAGGCTTTCCTCAAAGCACCGGGGTTTGCATATTGTAGCTCTGCCTTGATTTCTGCGATCTCGAGCATAAGCCCGTTTCTCAAGCCCACTTAGACCTGGCCCGCACTTGGGAGACAACTTTTGTTTCATCGGGACCATCACGTGTGCGTCCGGACGAGCTCGGGGTCTCCTTGGGGGAGAAAGACTTGCCGTGGTATTTTGGATGACGGCAACCACCATGTGATGACTACTGCAGCAAAACACATCACCTCCCACCAGGCAAACGAGAAAACCTGTGGATCATGAAGCCGGTTGGAATGTCACGAGGGAGAGGGATACGGCTCATCGACGACATCAAGGACATCTGCTACGCGGACAAGGTTAGGCGAATGCACTGTCGTTGCCAGTGACTGGTAGTTGTTGTTGTTTTGTTCTCCTTTGTCGTTGTCATTGAAGCCCGGTGATTTCAACTGGGTTTCTTTCGCGGCAACCTCTCACGTACGTAAGCATCGCTCAACAACGTGCCGCCTGTGCAATCATTAGCGGATGTGACGGTAGCCTGCGTATTGGGATCAGCGTCGCTCCGAGCACCTTGAGTTCGCAACCAGATTTTGTCGAAAGCGGTATCGTGCGGCTTCACTGCAACACCCTGCTGCAGGTGGTGTTGCAAAGGTACATCGGGAACCCTTTGCTGCTGGACGGCTACAAGTTTGACCTCAGACTCTACGTTCTTGTCACCTCGTTCAACAAGTGAGAGGTTCAAGCATGTAGACAGACGCATTCATGGAGTACGCGTCTATCGACGTTTTCCCGTGAAAGGCATGTCGATCGCAGTCTTGAGCGTTATTGGAGTCAGAGCACCAACATTACTTCTGCAGGCTGCAAAAAAGGATCTTAGAAGTTTGTTGTATACCCGTTCGTGAAACCATCTTTTGGTCTGTGAAGTGCATTTCCTGGTCGATTTTAGATGTGTGCATGAAGGCCTACATGTAGTTTCGTAGTGCGTAGGAAGCAATACTTTTGCTGTGAGGTAGAACTGTGTGTTCCCTTATTCACCCCGTCACATACTCGTTCGAGCGCGCAGATTGGAGGCTTTCATCTATAAGGAGGGTTTTGCTCGGTTAAGCACCCACCGGTACGAGAAGGGTGACATCGACAACCGCTTCATACACCTCACCAACAGCAGGTGACTGGTTGACGGCTACTTCGCTGACTCTCCGAATCCATTCGTCCTGACGCCCTCCTCAGAAGCAACGGTTGATACTCGAATTTATATCCTATCAACAACAATACACATCTGAAATATATATCTCCCGGAAGCTGTGCGTGTTCTGCCTGCGGAACAGTGACCGAAATGTATCCCAGGTACAACACTGCAGTGCGTAGAATAGGTACCATGCTTGGTTTTCGTCCAACGCGCAACATTGCACACACAACGAGTCGCAACTGTGAACTGATGGTGCAAAGATGATCCGCATGCTTCTTCTCGAGTATGGAAGGCCTTTCGAAGGCAAGCCGTCTCGGCTCTTAGCGCTATCTCAGTGCGCGCTACAATGCCGAGCCGGAACTCCCTGTGGCGAAATGTCTCCACGGCTAAGTTGGGCAGCATGTTCTACTCTGTGTAGAAATTACACACAAAAGGCAAAGCCACTAGCAGAGAAGCGTAGCCTTAACCTCGCGGATCCAAACCCCCCTCTCTCCGTTGTACGTCCCCACGCACTATCGCGCCCAGCATCCAACGCCTGAACGAGGCAGGAGCTGCGCGAGACAGCCCTCTCAACCAGGCCAAGACCTCGGAAGCCGGTGGCACGAAGACGACTCTTTCTTACCTCTGGAGAAGGCTGGCCGCCTCGGGACTAGACGTCGGCGCGCTATGGGCCGAGATCTGTTCCGTGGTAGTTAAAAGCCTGGTCTGTGTCGAAAGCTCCATACCGAATCAACCAAACAGGCAAGTTGGTTCTTGACGTTTCGACATCACCACCCCACCTTGTTTCGAAGTAGCATTGTCTCAACTATCTTCCCGAACCGTCAGGTAAAGTACGAGGAGTTAAAGCTCAGAGCAAGCTTACAATGAGGCTGTCGTGTGTGTGGTGTCCGTTCCACACACTATCTCGATGTCATATTCTTACAGTCGTAGGGTTTTCGCTGTACGTCAGGGTTGTTTGGATGTGAAGGCAACACAGACAGTATAGTTCACCCAAGGTTGGAAGCCTGCTTGCAAGTCGGACAGCACGTATTGTCAAAGGTTGACATGATCTCCCACATGACACGAGGACGATACATCTCATGGCGCCCTTTTCGACCGCATCGTTTCCCATACTGCAACCCATCGGCTCTTGCTATCAACCCTTTACCGGATACCTCTCGGAATTCTCGTTTCCTTTCGAAACGGCTGGTCTTCTGCGAATCGGTGACCAGTTTCGAGCTTTTCGGGTACGATGTTCTCATCGACGACAGGTGAAGAGAGTTAGTTGTGGATGTTGAGGTTCGTTCAAAGTGTTCCAAGGCTTCCCAACTGAGATGGTCTTGGCAGCCACCGTGTGTGCCCGACCATAGTCTATGTCGTCAACTTCATTCTGGCGACTGACAATCACGGGCGAAAGACACCGTATTGCCACAGGCTTCTTTGCTTTTCCAAAACGTTGTGGGAAAATGCTAGCTCTCGTCGCCGACGGTTGTGGGAGGGTCTGAGTAAGATTGGGTATACCGTCCTTATGGCAAAGCTATGCTTGAGACACGGTTGTCCTGTTCTGTGGAGAGGAGTACTGTTTGAGCTCATGACCGTATTGGGATTACTTCGTCGACAGTTCTAGTTACGGCAAATGAGCAACAATTCTGACCCCGCAAATGCCGTGCAAACTGACATTTTTTTGTGATATCTGCAGGTCCGTTCACATCTCTTGTCTGTCGATAACCCTTCCTCTTCACGCCCCACGCTCTTTCAAGAAACGTGTGTTAAACAGTATGGTATTTGATAGATGTTGACTTGTTGAAGTCGTATCAATCAGCACAGTGGCCCAAACGAAATTGATGTGCTGAGATCCAAAAGTTGGCGGCCCTTTCTTCCCGTTGCAGGCTAAGACCTTGGCTGATCGAGGTCAACGCGTCCCCGTCGATGGCGCGCGATACGCACGTTGATCGCCAGGTATCCTTGAAGTAGAGAGCACGCACTGCAGTACACATATCATGTTGATCATGCTGTGTTCTGCTTATCCTGTCGTCGAATATGGACACGCACTGAACATGGTAGGTCCGTCTCGACGGAAATCCACGTTCAGCGGGCCAAGGACGCTCCGTGTTGTGTAAGGCGCTGCCTGATTGCATTTTTCATCCGCGAGGAACGCGGTGACCGTTGAAAGCGAACGGCGTAAAGTGGGATTCAACACCATTCGCGCCACGAAACCTTACTGCAAAACAAGCTCGGAGAAAGTATTCTGCGGGTATGGTAGCGCAGGCTGACACACCGGGGGTCGCATATAGTCGATGCACGACGCAGAAGTATGGATAGTGACCCTGGGTAACGTTGCTCTTCATTGGGATTTCTTCGTTGTCAGGTCAAGGAGGCACTGATCTTCGAGACGGTCCACCTCATCGACCCCCTTCCCTTCGACAGGTAAACATGTGCAGCGCGAACTGGAGATTTGGACGAACACAAGAGGAGGGCATACTGAGACAGCATTCTTGCAGGGTCCTGTTCTATCTGCATCCAAATGGCTATCGGGCTTCTACATGGTTAACAGCCGTTCATCCGCGTCTTGAACGATGATTTCGTCTCCAATATTTTAGGCAGAAGCTGGTGGACATCCTGGGTAGGCGCCTGGATGAAACCGAACACTCGAAGACGCGGGCATTTAAGCAGCGACACTATCCTCACCATCATCAGCAAGCTTTCGACACGACGGAGGTGCAAGGGGATGCAAGGGCAGGGGACAACTTTCACCCATCCCCTTCCGCGAAGGCGTCGGCGAATAGGGAGCATCAGCGCCCCCGGCGTACCAGGGTAAGAACGCTTCTCAGAAGGAATTAAGACAGGCTTGACTATTTGCAAGATTTGGTTGACTTATTCGTGAAAGCGGCGTCGGTGAGGTTCCACTTCTGGGATCGTCGACCTGTAGTCTATTCTGAATCCAAACTGTTCAACAGCAACAACAGGGGTACGAGCGTACCGCTGGTTGAGCTTGAGTTTGCGTGGGTGGCAAGGTCGTACGACGAGACTGGATTAACCAGGACCACGATGAAATACGCGATTTCTGCAATATCGGCATGACCATCGGGTGCGTTGATTCTTAAAACAAACCTTCGTTGGTAGGTTGCATATTACCACGAGATATCCCACGATGAAGCACGGTGCAAATTCCGTTTCGCGACCGAAAGGATCGGGCCACCACATACCCTACTGCTATGTAGCTTTTTTGGTCACTTTGGCGGTGGAAGGATCTGGTATGTTTTTGTCTGTCGCCCATAGTCGGTGGATACTATCGCTGAATCGCGTATAGAAACAAACACCGGCAGGTGTGCAAGCGCGTCCGAGGGAACCACATCACGCAACCAAAACCACCGCTGGAAGGCACGAAGAAATCCCACAAGGCGAACACCCAACCCTTCTAGCGCGTAACATGCAACGCAGGGGGAAAGGCGGAGACACACCTAATCGTTTGGCAAAAATTCATCTGTGTGATCTCCGGTTGGTGCGACAAACCTATACCGCACGGTGTAGACTGGCGCCCCGGATAGGTAGGACGAAAAAGACAACACACGAGATGACCAAACCAAACACACATAACGATCGCGAAAACCGACCGAGAGGAGGTTTTTCTCGCTTCCAAGAACGTCTCTAACCGCAAATAGCAATGGCCGAGCCTAGCAAAGCTGTTTTTCCCGCCACCCAGGTTGCAGCGGTCTCCAATCTGCATTTTTCGTGACGAAAACCGAGGTGGATGCGCCTTGAACCAAAACTGATTATTTTCCATGTCCATGCTTCGCGGGCATAAGGAAAGAGGAGGCGTGACCTGGGTCGATACCAAAACGCTCGACTCAAAAGATCGACTGTCCATCGCCACTGCCCTTGCTCTTCGTGTGCTACGTACGTGTGCAACAGGAGGAAGCAGACCTGGAGAGCGACCTCGATCAAATCCTCCACGGCAGAAGGCCCCGCCAAGTGGGGGAGTTGCCTGCCCGGATGGGAAATTTCGTGAGGCTTTGCCCCGGGACTGCCGCTCACCGGCGCGCTAGACGCTTGAGGAGGAAGGTCATCCGGCCACAGCCGGGCGATGACAACGACCCGACCGGTAGTAAACGGTAGCTTCTTGCAGCGTGATGATGACTTGTATCGCCCTTGTTGAAAACCGTTTTACCATTTCAACGGGAGGCCCTCCAATACAACCTTCTCGATGGACGCGGAACGAACGTAACTATTTCACTTCGATCCTACATGAACAGAAATGCACCGATGGCTCCGTAGAAAGCCCGCCGTCTTCGTTGCCCTCCCGAATGATGCTCTTCACACACCAGGTTCCCCCTAAATTTTGATGAAGGGAGAACTTTTGTATCGCTCGAGCGCAAGGGGAACCCTTGGACCATCACAGCAGTTCGATCTTGTCGTCGAGGGCGCTGCAACGATACCTACTTAGAGCCCCATTATCGTCATGGTCCACGTTCATGACGCTTTTCTCCCTGTTTCTTCGACGCACGTTCCCACCCATGCTCCCGATCCACCCTCCCCGCCGACCACGACGTCGAAACCGTCACGTTCGCTGTCACCAGACGCATCAAGCTGATTTGGTTCCAACCTCTCGATTCCTGCGACGGGTTGGAACAATTTGGAAGGTCGATTCTGTCCTTTCGTGGCATATCCTTAGAAGACACGAACCGAATTGTGGAGCTAAAGCAGACTGCATCATCCGCACCGAAATTTCATGTTGAATCAAACGCTTCGAGCCCAGGAAAATTGACACAGCGGATTCACCGAGCTACCTGGCGTTGTTGATATGCTCGTCATGGCCTCAAAGGCCAACAGAGCGTAACGCAGGGGGACCACAAGTTGGTCCTGACAAGTACCGCTTCACCCTCACCTGCCCCAGCTTGGGGTTGCGTTCGCACGCGTTATAAACAAGAGCATCATATGACCTCAACAGCACCAGTGACCCATGCAAGGCACGAGCTATGCTTGGGACTCTCGATCTACTAACACTTGCTGTTGTTGGCGCTGCTGGGTGCGGAGGTTGAGCCTTCTTGGCTACTCCTTCTCTTGTCACCTCTTGGTGCTTGGCGCGCATCGGCTTGCCCCATTTTGTTGTCATTTTCGATACCACATGAACCTGGACGTTGCATGTGTCACAATGGCGTCCGGTGGCGGGGGGTAGGTCTAGTATCGTTATCAACACTTGCACAGGCATGATGGCCGGTCACTTTTACCGAGGACAAGAAACGCGGACCTAGCCGTGGGGACCGTGGAGAGACGGGCTGTCGGTATGACCCGCTGCTGTCATCTTCTGGCGAATCGCGATCTCGGTCATCGTCTTGCCACTCGCGGGAATACATGCCCGCCCTTGCCCCCAAGAAAGCACGATGTTTTAAGGTCATACGGGCGGAAGAGTAAACACGACCACCCCTCACAACCCACAATGATTAGGAACGCTGAGTCACCATCGCACCCGTTCTTGCTCTTGGGAGATACAATCTGGTTCTAGGGTAGACTTCCGCATCTACCACATGGTTGTCCGTTCCATGCTTATGTTTGCGTACCTCATTTCCGAGCATGTTTTGGACCGACCTTCGGGAAGCTCTCGAGCAGCAATGCCATCGTCATCAAGGCCTGGATCTGTCCAAGCCCCCCTGTGGTGCTCCAGGCCTCCCTCCGCCGTGATAACGCACAAGTCGATGTTGCTTCCGCTGCCCAAGTCGTTGTCGATTCCCGCCGCGATGCCTTCTAGTACAAGCTCCTTGGTTTCTTGTTCTGTCAGGTTTTCTCGGTAACCCCGCTAAAAAGAGGAACGGAAAATACAAACAACAAATTAGCTCCCCATGTCAATACTCCGAAATTGCTCCCTTATCGTGCTGAATGGGTGGTCTCGTCCTACGGCGCAGTCTGAGGGTACACCTCATTCCGCTTTCCTCCTCCTCTAGACGGCGAAACCGTGGATCACATGGGTACCGGACTGATGTATCCATCAGTGGTCGTCTGCTCGCCCAAGACTTCATCCGGCATTTTGACTTGTAAGGTGTTGACCACGACTTGTCAGACTAGCGCATGTAAATGTGGTTGCACCTCGGTAGCCATGTACCTTCCGAACAAGAGATGTATACTTCTAGGCACCTTGAGCGTGCCGCGTACAGTGCTGTGTGAGCAGTGCACTTCAACACAATACCACGTATGCCGCTCCGCTTTCCCACTACGTATGCCTAAGCTAAAAACTGCATCTCACCCTTGTCTGCCGCTGTTCCAGCACTCAATAAGTCGTGCCGCCTACGGTAGACAGAACTTGACGTGCCGTCAACCGCGCCACCAGTTCGGTGAGCTGGCTCTCATTCTCTACATGCTTTGATGTGGAAAGGTTGTTTCGTATGCGACCTCGATGGCGCGTGTCTACGTTTGTCTGTCATCAGTTGAATAACTTCAGATAAACGTGGTTCTGCATAGAGAGGTTCTGAGAAAAGAATTGGGCATGGTTCCCACCAACAGCGGGTGCGGCAGCAATAGCAACAACAACAACAACAACAGTGACAACAACATCTGCGCCGTCAGCAATAACAGATCACCTCCAGAACGCTCAATGCTGCCAGGCTCCCGCTACCCATGGCCGTGAATTCCACCTCCGCGAGGCTTCCTCCCTCGTGGATCTGTGATGGTCACCACGCAGAAAGGCCGATCAACACCAAGTTGACGACAGCCGGAACATGTACCAGTGAGACACAAGGAAGGGCGACGGCCAGCTGTGTTAGGAATATACTTCCGCGTACATGTTTTTCGCGATGGCGAACCTACGAAGGCCTCGCTGACAACAAACCTGCGGCGAAGATATATTTTCGGTTGGGGTATCGAATTGCAGTTAGCGCCCGCAATAAAGAAACGCTTATTACAGGTCCAGCCTCGAATTCTTATTGTGGTCTATAAACTCAGCGAATGTCGTTCAATGTCTCATGTCAAGTTTCTAATTTTCGTGCCGCCAAATCCTGCTGAATTTCTTCAATCGGCAATTTCTTATTCTCTGCTCACGAGAGCTGCCGGAGAGCACCATCAAAACCGTACAGCAGACAGCATATCGTGGTTCGCAGCTTGTCTGGTGTGCTGTGCCAGAGCCGGAGCGCCAGAGAGCGCCAGATTCGGCAGGGGGCCGGAGGGTGCGCGCAAAAGAAACACAATCCCCTCTCGTCGTACAACTAATAATGCACTTGGGAGGGGGGGGGTAGTGAGAGAGGGGGGAAAGAGGGAGAGATAGGAGGAGCTGTGGGGTGTTTCTTATTCGACACACTCTCTCCGCAACCCCTCGTTTCTTATGGAGTAGGGCAGCGGTCGTCGCTGTGTCGTATTATTGCATTTCTTATTGTGTGACCCAGCGTGAGCCATGTTTCTTGACCCTATGTTCTTATTTTCGTGGAAAAATGACCCTCTAGACTATTTATTAAAAAAATGTTTTTTAATTGTGGGTGCAGCCGGCGCCCAGCCGTCGTGAGGCAAGCACCCGCGACTTTCGTGCTGGTTCCATCTGAAGAACAGTGGTCCTAGGTCGGGACGAACGCAATTTCGACAGCTGTCCTCTTCAACATCTCCATGAATATGAATATGCACAACAGACTCATTCGATCGAAAGCGTATCCGCAAAAAAAACTGATGCCAATGTACGGAGTTTACGCCAATGAAAGATACTTCCAGGGGCAGACACAACCGAAATATCAACTCAACACTGAGACCCTACGCAGAAAAATAATAATACATACGTGCCTGGTAGATATGCTCGCCGATAACGTCCACTCCTCCTAAAACGAAAGCTGCGGAAACAGTCCCCTGGTACTGGAACAGGTGCCGCTTCAGCAACAACGCCGCCGCGCCGACCCGGAGATGCTTGCGCTGCACCTCATCCAGCCCGCTGTCGCAGCTAGCCAAGGGCCTCTCCCCGTCCGCCCGAGATTGGCATTGAGGAGAGGCGACCTGCTTGAGGGCAGGCAGGATTGCATCT